TGAATTGTTTTTAGTTTTAGTCGACTAAATCTAGTAATTTTAGTCGGCTAAAACCTAATGGGTTTAGATACAGTGTAATGCATTTATTAAGCATTTCTCCAAAATTTCCAAACTCATTAAATAGTTTTGATATTAAGGTTTTATCATGATAGACACCGATTTAACTGCGGTGCCACACAACATGCCTTTATGTTAAAATTAAATAAAACCACTTCTCATAAAGAACAAAACATGGTCTTATTTTTAATGAAATACCAATGGTTATATCGGCTAGTTATGCATTCTTTATAGCAACTTGTTTACCATATTCTTCATTCTTTCAAGCAGACATATTTATTTCTATAAATAAATTTAGATTAATCTTTAGGGCTACTAAAGTTGTTCAGTCAAGAGCAGTGCGTGATTTTCTGTCTTTCTTTTGTTGCTTGATTAACATCAATGACTCGGACAATAGCAACTAAATTAGGCTGCTGTCCCTTTAAAACCGAATGCACCGCTGCAATGGATGCAATGTACTGATACACGTTCTCCCTGCTGTTTACGTGAATACTCATCAAAACGGACAATTTGACATAATTTTGTGTGTAATTCTCCGTTCATGCGATGTGAGAGAGTACTCGTGCGCTGTGAGAGGCGCTTTCTGTGTGTGTGTATGCTTCAGTGTCTGCGCTCAGAAAACCAGACCGAGTTGAGTTCTCTCTTGCGTCGTCAGATTTATCCATATGTCTGCTCTTCTCTTACTCCCACATATTGACATTTTTTAACGTTTGATGCGACGTGCAGCAAGTGTATGTTAGCTTATGTCCCGCCGGTTCATATGTACGCATCTAAACTACGAACCACGCAGCAGATTCGTTCTGAATGAATCTCTTCCCAAATCATCCCTCCCTAACATTTTTGTCTCGTTTTTATTCGTTGACGAAAATGTCAATAGATTTACGTCATAGTTTTTGTCATTCAAAAAGAGTTTTAGTTCGCTATCGTCTCGTTGTCGTCAGTGAAAAAAATGTCGTTGACGAAACAAAATGAACACTGCATGAACTGATTTTTGCAGAATGAATTCAGTCTGAATTGAGGTTCTGAAAGTTCTGTTTATATGAACCCAAATTTTAGCAATCTGATTCGAATGTTCATTTATATGTGCGTAATCCAAATTTAGAAAGTAGTCAGGTTCAAAAGTTTACATTGCTAAAATGTTCTGTTAAACAGATTATTTAAGATCTTCACCACCCCTTTCAATCACAATTTCATTCAGAAGTCTTTTCAGTCCAGTTAATAAAGTCAATTTCTGCTACAGAAGGTGCTATAAACTCTTAAAAATAAAGGTTCTTTATTGGCATTGATGGTTCCATGAAGAGCTTTCCATTGCACAAAAGCTTCTTTATAGTGGAAAAGCTTTATTTTCAAGAGCTGGATGAACATCACAAGTCTGCCGTGGTTTGATTGAGAGCGTTGATGATTCTGTTTTCTCACATTTGTTATTGATGGTGGTTTGGACTGAATTTCATCTGGTGTTGGTAGTTGGCGTGTGTTTAGCGTGTTTGGTGTTTTAGAAACCGGGTGGAGAGGAGCCGTCGGAGGAGGACGAGATGACCAAACACATCGACCCGTTACACCAGCTCATACAACTGTTCAGCAGAACCGCGCTGACCGAGAAATGGTGGGTTTCCTTCAGCCTTCAGTTGATATAAATAGTCCAAACCACAGTGACTTTGTTCGTAGATCACATCGATGCCATTCTGTCCCTGATCTAATGTTGTTGTTGGTTTGTTGTAGTAAACTCGAGGAGGACAATCTCTACATGGCTTACGCTGATATCATGGCTAAGGTAAGACTCCTTTAACAAGCCTTTTCTTTTGACATTATAAGCTCCACTGAGGGAAACGCTCAGATTGATCCTGTGCTGTTTGTATGAACACTCACAGAGCTGTCATGATGAAGAGGAGGAGGATGAAGAGGAGGTTAAGAGTTTTGAGGTAGGTGACTGGACGGGACGGATCCTCTTAAATGCATTCGTACACTTTGAGTTGGATTTTCTTGGCAGCTTTGAAGCTCGTGAAGCATCTCAGACATGAAGGCATGTTTGACCGTCTCATGTGTCCTGATCTCATGTAGATCACAGCTCTGAACATTTGAATTCAAATGGTCTGCTGGTCTTAACCTGCTACTGGTCTGGTTTCTGCTGGTTTTAGAGGTATTTTGAGCACTTATCGGGTCAGGAGAGCAGTCATAGACCTGCAGACCACCTTAGGCTGGTTTAAACTGGTTGGGTTTCCACAGGGCTACAATATAGACTTTCATCTGAATTGGTTTTGCATATGCACGCTTGAATTGCTTTGAACTTCAGTTCAACCTGAATAATCTGAATCCAGCTGAAACCACCTTAGTTAAAACTGTTTTTTCAACTCATTAAAGCTGGTCATTAGTTCATCAGAACTGGTTTAGGTGGATGGCCAGGTGGAATATTAGTTGGTGTGCCTGAGATAGACCAGCTGGAACCAGTCTAAGGTGGTTTCATCTGGTCTTCGCAGGTTTAAGCAGATCTCCCAGCCTGACAACCCATCTAAAACCATTAGATTTGACCTGTTGTGGTTCAGCTAAAATCATCGGACCACTTCATGCTGTTGCATCAGCGGCACTGTGTGATTTACCTTTCAAAAACATTAGGAAAACAGTCCTGTGTCTTGAGCACTGACTAGCCGCCGCGTCCGCATGGCTAACATCAACACGCCACGTCACCCTTCAAACACACTTACAGGCCCAAGTATGAAATGACTAAATTTTGTTTCCACAGTGTGATATAATGAAAGATTTAAGCATCCTTCCTGTGTCGTCATGGCAATAGTGATGTTGCTGCTGGTGTTTGTTACATTGTGATGGACATGATGCTTCATCCTGAGGGTCTCATGTTCCTCTACACTAGCTTTCAGTGACCATGTCCCATATTCTGATCTGAACTAGCACACCACGATCAAAACATGATCAGAAAATATATTAAAATAGTGGAGTAGTTTGACAGTATAAGCCAATCTGTTACATCCTTTGCATTATGGTTAATGTAATTCTTAAATGAGAATTTGGGAACAACAAAATTTTAAACTGAATCCTAAAATGGACCGGAAGCCTATAAAGCGAAGCTAAAGTTGGGGTGACATGGTCATATTTCTTAGCCCTGTTTAGAAATGTTTAAAAAGTTCCTACAGAATCGTCTGTCATCACTGAACAAAATCTGAGCTCATGAAGGTTTATATTTTTAACATGAAAAACTTGCAAGCAATTTCTACTTCTGTAACTCTTGAGCTCTATTCGTAATTTTCACAAAAATTTTTGGCACAAAAAAATGGAGAGAAAAACATCCATAAACTGCAGCACAGGCCTGCTGTCCATTTTCCATCTGTTTCAAGTCACAGCTATTTAGATCACCTCTCAACAGCAGAAGGATGTAGAAAAAGATCCCACATCAGAAGTGCTGTGACATGATAAGCTTCGTCTGGATTGATACAGTCCGTGTTAGAGGAGATTCTGCTGTGGCTTTGGGGATATAGATCTTCACCCAGCACCAGCAATGAAAACACAATGTGTTTTGGCACATGTGTGAGTCGTCAGTGTGTGGCGTGAGACGTTCACTGGAGCAGCGTTACGACGTTCTTCCATCTGTCCTGCAGGAGAAAGAGATGGAGAAGCAGAAGCTGCTGTATCAGCAGGCCCGACTGCACGACCGCGGCGCGGCTGAGATGGTGCTGCAGACCATCAGCGCCAGCAAAGGTCAGAAATCTCTGAAAGCCCGAGCTGATGCAGGTTTGTGGTGATCATGCACTGATGAGAGTGTGTTTGTGCAGGAGAGATGGGGCCGATGGTGGCCTCCACGCTGAAGCTGGGCATCGCTATACTCAACGGAGGAAACTCAACCGTCCAGCAGGTGACAGACACACACACATCCGCCGTCTCATTCAGTTACGTTTAGTTCAGTTTACTTCGTTTATCAGTTTAGCGAAATTCTGGGCCGAGACCAAAAATTCAAGATGCACTTGGCTGAAAACTGAAACCGAAATGTTATTTAATAATCAATTAATTAATCAAATTTATTTAGTACTCATCACACAAATAAAAACTGAGGACGGAATTATGTTTCTACTTTACATTTACATTTAGTCATTTAGCAGACACTTCTATCCAAAGCGACTTACAAATGAGGACAATAGAAGCAATCAAAACCAACAAGAGAGCAATGATATGCAAGTGTTAAAAAGAAAACAGACAGAATAGAAAAAGAATAGAGCAAGCTTTTTTTTCTACTTATGTAAACATTTAAACAGTGGCCGTAATAAAATTTGTTTTCATGATAGATTTATTCAAACATGAAGACAACTGGTTTAGTAAAAATAATGAATATATAATATAGTGCATATATTTATCAAAGCGCTCATTTCTAGAGTTGTTTTTCTAGCTGACTCTCAAGTTTAAGGTCATGTGACGATACTGATCACAAGCTGTTTTACTGACGTCTTTCTGCTGTTGAAACACTGTTCGAGTACTTGATTCATGACTGATCTCAGTAAGTTGTTGCTGATGTAACTAGTAGTAAAGAGGAAGAGATGACCGCTTCACGATCTGATCTGAATCACACATCAAAGAGCCACAAAACAGCATTTATTGATTGAATTTCATAATGAAATTGTCACAATTTGAAAACCGAGACTTTGTTTCATATCAAAAGTCACAAAGCTTATTGTGATTATTGGATGGGAGGAGCTGCAAATAATGTTAAGTGACTGACAGGCATCAACAGAAAACAGCACAGACTGAAAGACTGATCTTGAGATTTAAGAATCCATATCAGTATCAATTAAAAATGAGAAATGGGTATTAATGCAGCACTAGCGTCACACAGCTGACATGCTGATCTGTTGTAGTTGATCCACGTTGTGTGAAATAGACTCTGACACTGGTTTCAAAAAATGTCAGTGCATCTCTAGATAACATACATGCAATAAAAAAACAAGAAGGTACAGAAAAATGCACATTGATGTTCATGTCACTTGGAATATGAGTATGTGGACTAGACTCCCATGGTTCCCTGTGCTGTGCTTTGACGTATTTGTGTGCTTTTTGTCGTCCACCTGCAGAAAATGCTGGACTACCTGAAGGACAAACGAGACGTGGGGTTTTTCCAGAGTCTGGCGGGACTGATGCAGTCGTGCAGGTAAAGCATCTTCCTGCT